CCCTGCAACCTTGAAGCTCCATTCCAGGATCCTCCTTTCCCATGCCTTCCATCACATTGGCACCAAAAAAAAAAAAAAAATCCTCCTTCATGGACAGGTTCATGTACTGTAGATTTCTTGAGAGCAGAAATGGTTTGCCCGTCCCTGCTTGATGGATGGATGGATGGATGGATGGATGGATGGATAGATAGATAGATAGATAGATAGATAGATAGATAGATAGATAGATCGATCATCTTCCCAATCTAGCCTACAGCCCTAGAAATTCTTGATGGTCTCTCACCCAAGCATTACCCAGATCCAGTCCTGCTTAGCTTTCTGAGATTAGCCAAGATCAGCTAGATGTTGTCCCCTAGCTAGTAAAAAAAAAATGTGCAAAAGTTCCATACATACTGTATGTTATAATGGATGAACAAGCATATAGCGTGAAAGTTAGAGACCTTTATTGGACTCTGAACAGGCATTGATGTTAATTTAGTTACTGGCAATAATAAAGTTAATCATTAATATGAGATGTCAAAATTATTATTGCTTCTTAGAGTTCTGTGTAGACACTTTCTCTCCCCTGCCCTGCCATGTACCCAATAGTTTTTTATTTGAGAAATAGTATGTTTTCTTGAGAATCTGGCCACTGTGCCTTTTTAAAGTCAGATGGAAGGACAGGGGTATGCAATGACACATATAGCTATCCCAAGAGATAGGGAAATCAGTGTGACAAGAAGGGGGGCAGGTAGTTACTAGGATGCAGATCTCAGCCAGACTAGGCTTAACTTATCCTGTTGTATTAGTCAGCTGTAAATAATCAGTTGAGGATTTGTGAAAAGCGGCTGGAAGTTCAGTCTCTTTTTAAAAAAATCTATTTTTGTTCTTCCAACAGATCTTTGCAGTATGCTTCCCCACTTCCTTTATCCCTCTAGCAATCTGACTATGGAGCAAGCTTTGGAAAGTCAAATAACACTGAACTGCACTGTGCAGCTGCCTTTCAGTAACAACTGTGATCTTGACCTGCACTGGATGAAAGATAATCAGTTGTTAGACAATAAAACTCATCCTTCTTATACTCAGTGGTAAGAAAACTTTTACATAAAGTTGTCTTTATTTGGTTGCATAATGGTGGCAGCGAGGAGAATAGGAAGTCTCCCAAACTCTGAAGATCTTTTGAAGAAAATGATCAGCTTTTTATAAGGGCTTATCTAGACAGTTAGCCCTGCTGATCTTCTAGAATAAGAAGCAAGTTTGCAATGAAACTGGCTTTATAGAATGGAAGCTGCATTTGCTGTCCTTATAGGAAGGAATACTTATCCTGAACCTTTAGAAAAGGCACGTGTGTAAAAAACAGAAAGGAGTTTGTTTTAAAATGAGAAATTATTGTATGTCTCATTAGAGAGTGGGAGAATAGTTGTCTTAGTTTTTGCACCTTTAGAAGAAACATGAACACTCCTTCACAGAGTTATGGTGTGTGGTAATGCTCAGCTGCTGAGGAAACGTATATATAAAGTTTGTGGATGACATGGGCTGTATTATATATTTCCATCAGCGTAGTGCTTACCACCACCCAGGGAATCTGGGCATTAGATTCTTGTGAATTCAGTAATAGAATCAAATTCTAAATGGAAAAAAATCATTTACGTTTCTCCAGTAACAAATTGGTACATTTTGGGCCTATCACCCCCAATGCAGCATCTACAAAACTTGTCTGGTGGTTCCGCAGGCCTCTCTCCACCCTCCTTCTCCTTAGCACTTTGCTTTTGTCTGTTTACTCTTTTGACTAGAAATGACAATAGCAAGTGGCCAGAGCCTGGGCTGGTGGGTTGCTTTGCAACTGACGAAACGTAGTTGGGCCCAGAGGTGGAACAGGTAGGGCTTTGTTAGCATTTGGATAGGAGATATCCAGGAAATGCCATGGCTGTAGGTTAGACAGGGAAGTTGAAAATATTCCAGAAGAAGGAAATGGCAAACTGCTTCTGTACTGTTGCCAAGCAAACTGCATGCTTGTGTCCATATAATCATGAAGAATTTACTTTGATTCAAGAGTTATACCACTTTAGCTGCTCGGTAAAAGTTGGAGTGGGAGGGAATGAAGCTTCTTTGCACTGCCTGGTAAGCTTAGAAGGGGCAGTGGGGGAGAAAGCTGGCAGAAGAGGCAGACCAGAGAAAGCCAACAAAGAACATGATCATCTGCTTGGCTGAGTAGACGCAATATATAAGGAGGTGCTTTCTCTGGTCCTCTTCCCCTTGCTCTTCCTTCAAAGGCCAGTTTCATCTTTAACAATAAACAAAGAATAGTAGAACTGCCTGGACTCCAGCCATAGCTGGAGAAGTTGGGTGGCTGTGGTGGCTAACATAGCCCTGGGAGGCTCCTGCATTTCCCAGGCCCAGAATCAGACCACGTTATTCCAAACTGGTCTATCACCAATAGTTTGGGGTGCCTCTTTCTGAGCCGCGGAAGCCGAATGGATTCAAATGCTTGGATTTTTTTGGTTTGTGTGTAGTTTATTTGTGCTTTTTGTTCTCTTTCTGATGCTCTTACTCAAAGGCTACCATCCCAACATTTTATGAGTGGACACATTTCATAAGAATGACTCTTTAGGAGAGCATTTGGGAACAAGTGAGCTTTATTCTGTCCTTAGATTGTGGCACAACAGACTGGTTCTGTTAGTGGTTGTAGTTGTCTCTTTTTTTAGTCCTGTGTTGTGTTGGTTGCTGTAAGCTGCTCAGAGCCTGTGAGAATTGACTGGTAGAGAAACCTAAGCCAATAAATCTGTTGTATACTTGATTCCACTTAGGCTCCTCCAAAAGTTGAGGACCTCTGGGTTACACAATAGGACGCTTATAGTTTCACCACAGAAACTTTTAAAGTAAACCTTTTAGAATTCCACTTTCTGTGGTTTCTTTTGTTCAAAGCTATCTGTGGAATCACTCAGCTGGGTTGGACAAAATGATCTTAATGTAGTGAAGGAGGCTTCCTGTTTATTTTGATATGATCCTCAGTGAGTATGCCATATGTTGTTTTTCCTTTGTCTTTTCCCTTTGTGGGAGTCAGATTTATATATTTTTTCTGTCTCTGTTTCTTTCACTCTCACTGTCTATCACTGCCTTAGGTGACTTGGGGATGACTCTCACAATGCCCTTGGGCATAAAGCTGGAAAGATATATTAAGCTAATTAATTTTGTTATTGATTGCCAATAATTGTTCAAAAACAGTCTGGCCTATAAGCAGATGTTATTCAGCTGTATAATCTAGTAGAAAGCTAGGCTTGCTTTTTCCCACTTGAACACTTCTGTAAGCAGTATCATATCGGCTATGCACTTCTTCTCTGGCATAATATTAATTGATGAATCCTGTCCTTTCAGCCTACTGCCCAGGATAGAAAATCTGTCACAGTCAGAATTGAGCACAGCAAATTTGTTAAGCATAAATAAAGGGCTTAACTCTATTCATATCTTTACTTGTCAGTAGCTTATCAATTCTTAGTTGTTTCTTCTGTCTGGGGGAGTCTACTTTCCTGGACTCATTCTACTACATTTTTTTGCAGTTAGGTTTAGTTTTCAGTTTTGATCTAATTTTGGTAACTGTTATGATCAAAGCAGGCAGTTTCAATCCAGCTTGATAGTCAATCCAGAGGTAAAAATGACAAAAATAAACTAATTGACTATAATAATTAACTATGACTCTTTAAAAGGGAAAGAAAAGAAAGAGGGAAAAAAAAGAACAAAAACTCAAGTTTAAAGAGAGTTAGATTAAAAATTCATACCCATTTTCTCCTTGAGGACGAAAAAAAGAAATCAAAAACACATTTTAAGTAAAACATTAGCCTGCTCCCCAACTAGAACCTACAATTCATTTGTATGCAAAAGGAGTGGAGAGAAATGGGATCTTCCCAAATCTCTGCTAGTTTATGTGCACCAGTGTAAACTAACTGGTTTGATTCCGTTCTTGAGAACCAAGCCTATTGCCCATATAACAATTTACACAGCATTCCCTTTAACTAGGCAAAACTAATCTTTCCACAATTCCCAATCTGCTCCTTTTAAAAGACCTTCAGTGAACTGAGGCTTCTGTCACCAAAGCACATTTGCTTGGATTGATCAATGTTCCTGAAGAAAGTGGGTTTTTCCTTCAGGCTGGAGAAATTATTTCTTTGCCATGTGGAATCACAGTAATGGCAACTAGTCTGTCTCTATCACCTGAACCTCTGGTCTTGTGGATGAGAAGAAGGTCTTGGATGGAGGGTAGGCAGATGAACAGGAAATAGGCAAGAGTTTTGGTAATTGCTGCTAGTATGTTTTCTTTGAAAGAAACCTTGACTAAAAAAAATGGAAAGAACTGTGTTAAATGAAAGAAACTCTGGGAGGGTTTTAAATACGGATACAGAATTGAAAACCTAGGAACAAGTTGAATATGTTGGTTAGCTACTCAGTAATAACATTAATACAGTTTAAACCAAAAATAAGGTCTCTGCCTCTCCCTTTAGAAATTTACAATCCAGTTCAGACTATTTACTTAGAAAGAAGACCCATTGAGGTCAATGATTATTCCCAAGCATGTTTGCATAGGTTTGCACGCTAAGCCTTGGGAAAGGAAGGGAGAATACAGAAGGGAGATTGGAAATTACATGAGAAGGATGAGAGAGGAAGGTACTATGTATTTTGGGTGAGAAAACAAAACCTTTTTTTCCTGTAACAAGCTTTTTGCTGCTTTTCCTGATTTTTTTGGGGGGGGGGGCTTGGAAAGACAAAGAAAAATAGCATATCGAATATGACTATGTGACCGTGTGTAAATCACAAATTATAGTCAAAGCTAATTGTTGTCCAATTCAGGTAACATCTTTGCAGATGCAAACTCATTTTTGTAGTAGAAAAGGCCAAGATTACCAAGATGGACATGCTAAAACAGAAAGAGTATTTCCATAGCATAGATTTGCTTAGGTCTTCTTAGAAGTTAAATATGGCAATGGAAAGCCTATCACTTTCCCTGATCCAGTGTTTCATAACATCCAAAGACTCTCCATCCATGAACATCACACACCTTTCTAGAGTTTCAACAGAGGTACAGTATATGATGGAATCTGGATAAGACTTTTAATATGTAATCCACCCTGCTGCATTTGTGGAATTTTACAGGGATCTAGGCATTGTTCATATCATGAATAACTCTTCCATGTTTTCCCATTACTTCTTCTGTTGCCTTTGTTTCATTACTAAAATCAAGTCCATTAAGGAAAAAAGATTAAGCTTCACAGTGTACTTTCATAGGTAGCATTAGGAACCCTCTGTCTGTAAGCACCCTAACGTTTCTGGGTAGTCCACCTCTGATTGAAATTTTCTGATTCTCATCCTGTGCTCTTCTTCCAAAATAACAATACTTAGAAGTATGCTAACTTTTTTTTTTTTTGCTTCCCAGGTTCAGTGACAATGAAACCAAAATATTTATCTCCAGTGCTTTAGCACTAAACATGACTTCAGATGAAAATTATGGAGTTTTTGCCTGCTTCATTAGAAATAGTACAGCACTTTTTACACTGAAAAAAACAGGTAGTGTGCTGTTTTTACACTGAAAAAAACAGGTAGAATGGTCAGTACCCATTCAAAAGGAAATCTGTTAAAAAGATTCTGTTGATTATTGCTGCAGCTAGATGTGCACAGCATTGTTTGATAGTGAGTTCACAAAATAATAATAATAACCTATAGATCCATTCAAGAGCAGTTTTCTGATTCTATTAACCAGATAACAAACTAATGAATTGAAATATTTATTTATTTGCTGTACAGTCATAGACAAAATAAACATTTGTACAGTCTTTTGCATTCTTTTTTTAATGTCAGCTTTAAACATGGGGTGCAAGAATCTGACAGCTGAGTTTGCATTCCATCTGCTGGGTGATTTTTGCAAGCATAAAATTGGAGGAGGGGGTATTATACAGTATTTGCTGTCTTGAGTTCCTGGAGGAGATAAAGATGTTTGTGCTCAAATTAAAAGAGGGCGGGTAAAACATTGGGCTTTTGAGAATGAGAAGCAGCACTAACTTAGGAGCTCATTGTGACAAGCTATCATTGTGAATCTAAGGAGAGAAATTGCCACATGATGGCACCAGCAAACAATGAAATTTTTAAGGTTGTAGACTAGGCTGGAAAGTTGAAAAAACATTCTGGAAGAAGATAGTGGCAAACCACTTCCATTCTGTGAAATGACTTCTGCCTTATGAGATACTGAATATGGACTGCTGTTTTTCTAGCCTGAAAATGCCAGTGGAATAGCTAGCAAAAAGTTAGCACAAGTTCCCAGTTGTTATTGCACCAATAAGTAACAGCTGTGAAAACCTGCACTCTTTCATTTCCATATTGTTAAAAAATATCCCTACTTGGGTGTGTCTGTGAAGTCTCTAGGAGCTGAGCTTCAACTTGGATTGGCTACTTCAAAGAACATATGTATCCATTTATACTAGCCAGAGTTGAGCTTGACTTAAAAGAGACCTTTCTTCTCCTCAACAAAAAAGTAAATGTTGAAATATTTTAAGTTTGGAATTTGGGGGAGGGCAGACTGCATTTTGATATTCTAAGCATTGGCAGTTCCTCAGTCATTCTGGAAGTTCTATTATTGTTAAAGAAGTATTCTCCAGACTTTTTTAGAGCACGCTCTTGCAACGTCCAGGTGCAAAACGTCTTAAAGTGTCTGTGTACAAACATAACAAGATAAACTTGGCTCTGAGGTATGTGAAGAATTTACTTCACGTCCATCCTTCATCCTAAGGCCTTTAATTTATTGTTTTGTGAATAGGAATACTTACCACAGAAAAATTTAACTCTCCATTTTTAAAGTTCTGCTCAACTCTGTAGTTGTGTTGTTATTACAGGTAATTCCCGGGTTAAGAACACCCAGTTTAAGGACCACCTGTAGTAAGAATGGAGCCTATTGTAGCAAAATTTGAGTTAAATACACAATGATTCGAATTAAGTACACAACAGTTTGAGCTCATTACACAATACTACTTATATAGTGTTATACTATAATACTATTCCGGCTTACATACAAATTCGACTTAAGGACAGACCTCCGGAACGGAACTCGTTCTTAAACTGGGGACTGCCTGTTTTCTTGTTTAGATAGCAATGCATCTATTTTTTTCCAAGTCACAGAATCAAATTCCATTTTTAACTCATCCTATACTGTACTATTTTACCATGATTTGTTGTTAATGTTGTTTCTTTCCTTTTCAGATGAGACTGCTGGGCATTTGGGTGCAGTGCTAGCTGCATTTTTTGCTGTAGCACTCCTGCTGTTCATAGCTGTAATGTATGTGAAGTGCCGACTGAATGTCCTGCTCTGGTATCGGAATCATTATGGAGAAGTAGAAATCAATGGTATATATATCTGTCCCTTTTCCTCTTGATTCAGAATATTTAACATTTGAAGAAGTATTGAGAGAAGAGAGGAGTTTATTAGAAATTATATGGAATCTTAAAATTCTAGCCAAGCCAATATTTTTATAGTTTCCTTTCAAATGGGAATGATTAGAGGCTAGAACAGGTGCCAGCCTGCTGCCTTTTGACACCTAGGGCTCTGTGCAATAGATGAGCACACTAGGAAGGAGAGTGTGTCTGTAATTTATTTCATTTTATTTTCTGCATCTTTTGTTCAAAAGTACGGTTTAATTTAGTCTACCATTCCATCTGTTTATATGACATTGCCTCCAGGGTTATTCCAAACTCCAATAGTATCAAAGTCAATCCCTTCTCTCCACCCCATTTTGAAATTCCACAAGAAAAAAGCTCTTGGTACTATGGGAATTAGATGGGATTGATTTTTTAAAATTAATCTGTTAGCATAACATACTGTGTTTCCCTATGCTTTTTTCTACAGATGGAAAAATTTATGATGCATATGTGTCTTACACTGATTCAGTGGATGATAGAAAATTTGTGAATTTTATAGTGAAGCCACAGCTAGAGAATCGCTATGGTTACAAGCTCTTTTTAGATGATAAGGACATTCTGCCCAACTCAGGTAAGAACTTGGCATAAGAAATGGGCAGTGTTTAGTAGGTTGGAGTTACACCCTAGCTTCCTGACTTTGTGGAGAACTGCAGGAGGCCATCCAGTGATACTACAATGTCACCGAAAGAGAATTAACTGAGTTTTTTTCAATTGGGACATGAAAGTAGGAACAGGAGGCCTCCCAGAAGCAAACCAGCCCTATTCTTTCCTTTAAATGGAATATGGGTTAAATAACATCTAATAAATTTGAATATTTTGCTATTAAAAGATACCTCATGAAGGCCTATGGAATGATTTGAGTGAATCAAGAGAAATCTGTAATTTAATTTGCTCGTTTGTCCGCATGTTCATAATAGACTAGCTTTACTTGAATGCTGACTTACTGGAGTGAAATGTGATCTTTGTTTTCAGGACATTATATTTTACAGTATATTTGAATACCAGCTCAGTTTTTCAGACAGTTATCAGAAGGAAGGAAGGAAGGAAATGCAGAATACAGAATTTCTACAGAGTAATATCAGGACAGTGGAAATTGCTCTGTGTTAGTCAAAGGGTTTACCCCACCAGTCCACAGAACTTCTCTTTCCTGAAGCTCCAGCCCCTCCATCTTCTCATCACGTAGCTGTTGCTTGAAATTGTTTCCAATATTTTGAAGTGAAACTTCAACAGGTTTCTCCCCAGAACTCTGCACTTTTTTCAACAAATAATGAAAGAGAAGAGCATATGAAAGAGGAGATCTGTTCCTTAAGAGGTGCTGCTACAAGTCCTGGAGTTCTTTGGAGCAGCAGTTCCCTGAGATCATGTGGTATCAGTGGTGATATTCTGAAGAAGCTGTAGCTCCTCCCACTGATATCATATAGCATTTAGGTGTGTCCCAAGAGCTCTCTGTCTTGAACCAAGAGTTTTTCCCACACTATCTATATGCTCAAGGTAATGTTTTCAAGTATAAACTCCAATCCTTCTTCAAGGAGATCTATGAGTAAAGTTTTTTTTTAAAGTATATCTTGTTGAAGTCAATTGTAATTAAGTTCTAATTCAATCCCTGCATCCAGTTTCAAAGGGAAGGAAAACATGTATGCTTCGGGATTCACTTATTACAGAAGCTTAGAAGCTCTGCAAATTATGGTTTTTCCTTTGGCATATGTTGGCATCTGTAGTTGTTTGAAATACATGGCAAGTTCTCAACGTGGAGAACATTAAGATTCTGTGAAGCAGAAATTAAACATTTGGTAGATAGATTCTCAGTGATACAAAAAAAAAAAAAGGTTCTCTTTTGCCATATAATATTTGTGAGGAGAGAGAAGATACCATCTGCCTATAACCCTTTTTATGTTTATTCAGCACACTGATACATTCGTAGTACAACCCTGACTATTCAAAGATTGTCTTATGATATAGTATATTGCTAATTTTGGATAAGCTTCATACACTTATGTCTTTCAGAGAACATATGTGAATAGATTATTTTTGTTGGCCTGCTGCCTCTTGGGACCCAAAGTTCTCATACTTGTATTGCTTAGGCTTGATATGTTAAGAAACTATTTATTTGCGTTTATGCTAAAGAACTCAGAGTATTCCAGAGTATTCCAGTCTATCTGCGCAACTTACAGGGTCAGTCCTGTTTTGGCAGTTTGTAATATTTCACTCAATTATTGATTTCTAATAACTATCACTTTTTCTGTAATATAATAATTCTGTCAAAAAGGAATAAAACCTTAAATGTATAGGGATGTGCAAAATTTGGTGATTCAGGAATAGAAGCTCCTAGAAAATTCCAGAATGTTCTGTTTCCTATCTGGACCATGCTGAACCTTCTCCAGACTCTTCCATTCCAGCACCAAAAATTATTTCCTCTCTGGACAAACAGACTTATTTTCTTGAAGTTCTGTGGAACATTCTATCTTGAATCACCAAATTTTGCACCTCTTAATACATGACCTTAACATCAGAACACAGCAATACCTTATTAATCTAGATGAACCAATGTATTCTCAGCTGATGCTGAAATCTTCATCCCTTGGCAACATGCTTGAGGAGGAAAAGAATTTTAACTTGAGACACCTGTATTGAGAATGCCCTCTCTTGGGCTTGTTGTTATGGTCCATGGAGTCAAGCCTGACTCTTGGTGACTACAGAGACAAGTCCTTGCAGTCTCCTTGTCATATTTAATGGCATTTTCAGAAGCGATTTGCCTGTATCATTCTTTCTAGGGCTGAGGAAGTGACTGGCCCAAAGCTACCCAGCTGGCTTCTGTGCCTAAGGCAGGACCAGAAATTACAGTCTCCTCGTTTCTAATCTTTGTTAACCACTAGATCAAAGTTGCTGCCTCACAGCAAAATCCTGGCAATAAAGCAATAATAACAGAGCATCGTCAGATTTTAACAACCAGGGTAACGTATAATGGAGAAAGCATTGCATATTGCTAGTGCACAGATAGCTGTGGTCAGGCTAGCCCTCTCCAGGAACTAGCTATAGATAGTAGTCAAGTGGAGCAGAAAAAAAAGCTTTCCTTCCAGAGGAAGAAATGCGTCTCCATTGATAATGATGGCTCCAGGAGCATTCTGAAACTCATCTCCTTAAGAAGAAGTGTCTCCCAGCTAGGACAAGAAGCCACCTATCTTCAGTGCCACCATTGTCAGAAGTCAGCTTCAGTTTATTATTGCGTGTTGAAAAAAAATCACTGGATTCAGACACCAGTCTAAAGCTGCACAAATTCTCTTGATTCAGAGAATATAGAGAAATACAGCCTGTTGTTATCAGTGTATTGATGAAGTCTCTGCCGGAGTTTTCATATAAATGTTAGACAGCACTAGGAACAGAATAACATCCTGTGGAACTCCACAGTTTAATTGCCATCAGACTGAGATATAGTCACTCAGTGCTGTTTTTCTTGAGAATAGCCCTGAAGTAGGAAAGGAACCAGTCGGTGCCCTGAATTCCTTACTTCACAGAGATGCTCCTGAAGGACACTATAGTCAAAAGAACCAAGAGCTGTTGCGAAATTGATAAGGAACAAGAAGTTTGTATTCCCCCTGTCTCTCTCATAGAGATCTTCCATCAGGACAGCCAAGGTTGTTAAGTCCCAAATTATGGGACTTAATCTGGCCTGAATTTAATTTGGATTTGGATGCTAGTGATAATATATTCCTGCATAGATAAAGATGAATGATAAAAAAAATCCCCAAGGGGTTGGCCCTTCTCAGAAAATAAATTTAAAAAAATCTTCTTTTCCAGAACCTTCTGCAGATCTGATTATGAATGTTAGCCGGTGTCGACGCCTTATTGTGGTTCTTTCTTATCCATACCTGGAACAGGAATGGTGCAATAATAATTTCAGGTAACCAGACAGTCATTTCTCTAAGATGTGTGTGTACTTGCTCCCTTCTCTCATTATATCTGTTTTTTGAATGCTGAACTGGCTTGTAAACTACATTTTGCTGTGATGCATGAACTAATAAACTCTTCCTTGTATGATTCCTCCAAACCAAGATTTCAAACCATTGATTCATTCTAGTTTCCAATCTCTGTTTCATAAGTTCTTGCAAGTCACTGGTTTGAATGTGATGGTAAATTGTGACTTGAAAAACTAATACAATAAATATTCTGTTCAGCTGACTATGTCCATGTAGCTCATTTCCAGACTTCCAACCTAGGGTTGAAGGACTGGGGAATGTAACATTTGCATGCAACCACTGTTTTTGATAGGCTACTAGATCCCCTTATTCACAGCAACTAAAATCTCTCCTATGTCTCTGAAAGTGATACACAGGAAACTAAAATTTGTACATTGCATGTTAGCTTCTGACATTTCAGCAACTTAGAACTTAAGGTTCTAAGCTTAATGGAGTTTGGAAATGATATATATTAGACAAGTGAATCAAATGCAAAACTTTTCCTATAGAGTGGAGGACTATAAATAATTACAGAAACCATTTTTTGTTGGTGATTCTATAAATCCATTGCCTATTTTTCAGGGAAGGTCTTTGGAGACTGCTGGAACTCTCCCGGAAGCCAATCTTCATTGCCTTTGAGAGCCAATATCGAGAAATAGCACATCCAGCCATTAATTTGTTAAAGCAGCACAAGAGCAATGTGACCTTGTTGATGTGGCATGCTGGTTCCATGGTAAACTGGGGGCAAAGAGGCTGTAACCTCATCATTTGGGTTCTTTTTTTGAATAGCAAGACAATATTTAAGATTTTATTCTAAATATAGAGTAGCTTCTCTTCAAAGAAAAACCAAAAGTAATCCTTTAATTATTTGACCTAACAGCATTACATATTTAGAAACTTTGGCTATTCTTTGAGGCCTAGATTTTGATTTCATATAATCAGAAAGTAAATTATAAATTTGTGTATCTTTTCATAATGGACTATTTCAGAAGTGATGAAGCTGTAACTCTCCAGATGTTGCTAAACTAATAGTCCCAGCAGCTCCAGCCAGCATAACCAGTGTTATGGTGGTGGTAACTGTAATTTTCAACATCTGGTGGGTAGAGGTTCCCCATCCTTGATCAATAGGTTGTTACACTGAATGCCTGTTGGCTAGCGAATAGATTATTGGGGCTGACAGTGTGTTTCTTGTGTAATATATAAATATTTACATATATAGATGTGACTTGATTTATGCAGAGGATAAGGAAAATCGTGAACTAGACTTAAGCACTGCAGAAAATTGTAAGAAAAAATGTTGTAATGCCTTGTCTTTAAAAGAAGCAAGCAGAAATCCATAGGGAGGCATCAAAAACATAAAAAATAAGAATTGATAACATATACTGTTTTTCACCTGAGGTGTTTAATGGTCAGATAGTTCAAAGGCAAGTGAAAGTTATGGATGGTGAAGATGAAAAAACACAAATATTCTCCAAAGCAGAAATGTAGAAAAGCATTATACCCACTTAGAAGTTTATAATTAGACTTATTTCTGTTTTCATATTAGTAGTAAATGAATGGTCTTTTTCATTGGTTATTGAAGGTGGGATGGAAACTTCTCTTGAGATATGAAAATAATTTTACATGAGCTTAGTACAAGCTGAGTATTTGAAACAGTCCTTATTCTGTAGACAACAACAGCATATGTGATTTTTTTTTCCTCCCTAGGAATGAAATATCCCCTGGCTCAAGAAAAGAAGTATCTAATTTACATTTTCTGTGTAGTATTTCCTGATTTGTGCCAGAACGAAATTGTATGATGGGCTGGGCTATGGTTTGAGAGGCTCAGGAAATTATTTTCTTGCCAAACAGAAATTAATTGGGGAAAGGAGCTCAAGAAGGCATTCTAAAAATGAATATATTAAAAGACCAAATACAAACAATTCCAATGAGAGAGGGGGAAAAGCACATAGTGGACCAGATTCTGAAAGAAAAGTAACTCTGGAAACATGGCCCCAGGGAGGAGTTTGGTTCTCCTGCAGCGGATGTGTTCAGTTGAAGGCTAGACTGCCATCTCTCAGGAATGCTTTAATTTGGATTTCTATCATAGTAGGGGGTTGGACAGAACATCTTATTCTATGATTGGATAGAAGTCTGTCAACGTTTATTTGTATACTTTTTAAAATGTTATGTTTCTAAGGAAAGGCATCTTCTTTCATTTTTTGTATGCAGTCTCCAGCACGGCTGGCTTTCTCTTTTGTTGCACAAAATACTGGTGCAATTAAAATCTAGAGGGGACATTGCTTGACTTTTGGTCTTTCCATGTGTGACATTAGGACAAGGTGTTTTCCAAGTGCTCATTGAAGTTTTTGCCTTCCTTGCCTCACTCCAGAAGTCAGTCTTCCAGAATTCTTTCACAGTCATGGAGTGTGATTATTTCTATTTTCTGTCAGTGCTTTTCCAAACCTTTAACTGATTGAAGCATAGAAGTCATATGTCATCAGGAGGTGGGGGAGTCTGGAGATCATCACAAGATGATCTTCATGTAATTTTCAGAATTGTGAGGATCTCAATTCTTATTCTGAAGTGAATTTGTTTTTAGATTTGAGCCATATGAACTAGCAGGAAAAGTTATCTGTAGTGTTTGTTTGCTGGTGTCCATTGTGCTTTTTAAATGTATACCAAAATAAGTGATGCTCCTAGGGAAAATGACATTTTCAGTAGCATAATCCTTTCTTTTTTTTTGATTTTTTAAATCCCTCCTTTATTATTTTATATAAATAACTCAAGGCAGCAAACAAACCTAGTACTCCTTCCTCCTCCTATTTTCCCCACAATAACAACAACCCTGTAAGGTGAGTTGGGCTGAGAGAGAGTGACTGGTCCAAAGTCACCCAGCCGGTTTTTCATGCCTAAGGCGGGACTAGAACTCCCAGTCTCCTGGATTTTAGGCTAACACCTTAACCACTCGACCAATCCTTGCTGCCTCTGTTCAGTATGCAAGTATTTGCCATTAACAACAGTAACAAGGAACCACTTCCTGATGGTTGAACTAGCTTTGCACAGATATTCTGATAAAAACTGATAAATTCATCTTAAAAATGGTGTGTGTGTGTGTGATCCATCAAATAAGTAGTTAATTTTAAACAAATATAATTACTCTCCCATTACTGACAGAATAGACTTTAGGTGGACCTTCCAGTTCCCAGCACGGTGATTATACTTAGGTACGTGATTATACTTAGGTACGTCCACTGTAGGAGAGCAGTAATGCTTTTGCCATTGTTGAGACTTAACCTATTCAGATCCTGACAAATTGTAGAGTAACTAAATCCAAAGCTGCCTCTTTTGAGGCTTATTATCAGTTAGAAAATCTGCATGATTTAATTTACACTATAAAGAATCCTAAACAAGTAAATAAAAGCTATGAGGGAAGTTAACATGAAGAATGCAGAAATAACCGCCTCCTCTGCCACAATAACAACAGTAAAAAAAAAACACTCTGTTTCAAAAACAGTGCTATCTGAAAAATCCCACCTTAATCCTACCTGTGAGAATTCTGCAGTTTGCAATCAGTGCATGAAAGCTACACAGACTTGAATAAATTTTCCATTTACTGATATTTCTAAATCAAATAGTAGTGCATTAATCTTTTGGTCTGACTCTCCTTGTATGAAGAAGAGCAGCATGCTGTCATTCTGACCTGGGGCCCCTGGTTTGTTTTTTTCTTATACTGAGAGTAAAGCTCTCATTTAGCATCTCTCCTCAAAATAAGGCAGCATAAGATAATTTCATCTTATCCCAAGAGAGATTTTAAAGTGGTATTTGACGGAGGCTTTTCTATCATGGCTAAATCATTTCATTCAATAAATACAAATGGCTGTGATCTGTGAAGATAAGTTCTGAGAACATTGATTCCAGTTTTCAAGAAACAGGGCTAGTAAATTATACACCAATCAGTGTAATAGATATTTTAGAAAAATATATGTGAAATACCTCTTGCTTACTTATGAGGAATGGGTCATATTGCATGATGAAACTGCTGGAGAATAAACTGGCTGTTCAAAATTAGAGAGTAATTTTGTACTTGCTCATTTAATTCATGTTAACATAAATAAGTTGATGCAGCTTTTGTGGACTCTGAATCAGACAGGCCATTTTAATCAATTGAAATACATTCTAGAAGAAACTTGCTAATACCAACATCAATTACTATTTGTTAATTTTATTGAGAGTGATATACTCAAATTGCATACTATCTTATGTTTAATGTCTAGCTATATATTCCTTTCTGCCAGAATTGTGCATTACTACCCTTTTCCCCCCAACTTCTTAACAAATTTGCCATCTTAATCAAAAGGCCATTGCTGTTTTCCTGTTATAATCACCAAGAAAAAGCTATTTGAATTTCTTTATGCAGTCAATTCAGTATAATTCTCCTGTCCTGTTCCTGTGCAAGCCTGTTTGATGATTATGTGCCATTAACTTTTTGTCAACTCTTAGCGAGTACATAGATAGATTTTCTCCATGATGATCTGTCCCTAATCAAGTCTTTCAGGTTTTCCAACGGTGCACACATCACTTCTGTAACTGAGTCTATCCACCTTGCTGCTGGTTTTCCTCTTCTTCTCTTTCCTTCCAACTTTCCCAGCATTAGAGCCTTCTCCAGAGAGCTAGGTCATCACATAATGTGTCCAAAGTAGGATAATTTGAGCCTAGTCATTTGTGTCTCAAGTGAGAAGTCTGGGTTGATTTTTTCCCATGATCCATGTGTTTCTTTTCTTGGCTATCTACAGTATTCTCAGGGGTGTATTCAAATTCAAAAGCATCAATACTCTTCCTATCCTGCTTCTTCAAAGCCCAACTTTTGCTTCCATAAAGTCATGGGGAATACCATGGCTTGCATGATTCTGATCTTTGTAGGTATACACACATCATGGCATTTGAATATCTTTTCCAAGGCCTTCATGGTTGTTCTACCAAGTGCTAGTCTGCAGCATATTTCTTGACTGCTTGTTCCTTTACTGTTGGTGGTTGATCCTAAAAAGCAGAAGCTATCTACCACTTTGATATCTTCATTGTCAATTGTAAGGCTGGTGGTTCTACCTGTTGTTGTGATACTGTTTTTTGTCTCTTCTAACATCTCTCTTTGTTAAGTTCCTTTCTGAGATTTTTGTCTTTCTTGGCTTTGGCTTCTCTTCTCTTCATGGCAATCTCCATGGTTTGTTCTGGCATCCAGTTTGCTTTCTTTTGTTTCTTCATTTTTGGCAGTCTCTTTTCACACTCATCCTTAACTACTTATTTAAATTCATTCCATAATTCCTCTGGTTCTGTATCAATGAGGTTCAGGTTTTCAAAGTGATTCTTGATGTTCTCCTTGGAAATGGTGGGTACATGTTCAAGATCATATTGTGGAAACTGGTTGGCTTTCTTCTTCTTCTTTAACTTGGAACTTGCACGTGAGCAGTTTGTGATCTGTTCTGCAGTCAGCACTTGGCCATATTGTTGATGCTATATTTAGCTCCTCCATCTCATTTTAGCAATAATATAGTCAATCTGATTTTAGGCACGCCATCTGGTGATGCCCATGTATAGAGGCATTGTTTTGGTTGTTTGAAGAAAGTGTTAGCTATGAAGAAATAATTGGCATGGCAGACATTGATAAGTCACTCTCCTGCTTCATTTTGGTTTCCTAAGCCATACAGTCCAACTACATTTTCCTCTTTAATGTTTTCAACTTTGGCATTCCAGTCTCCAATCACAAGCAGCACATCTTGCTTGCGTGTTCTGTCAATTTTAAATTGAACTTGATCATAAAACTCATCAACCTCCTCTTTTTCTGTATCAGTAGTTGGAGCATCAACTTGGATGATTGTCATATTAAAGGGTTGTCCATGAAGTCAAATCGGTATTATTCAGTCATTGATTGCATTGTAGCCAAGTACTGTTTTTGCTATACCCTTCCTAACTATAAAAGCAATGCCATTCCTTCTTTGTTTTTCATGTCCTAAGTAATAAACAGTGTGATCTTCTGACTGAAAGTGTCCAATCCCAGTTCATTTCAATTTGCTGATGCCTGAGATTTCAATTTGTAGTCTTTTCATTTCATCTTTCACTGTGTTGAGCCTTCCCATGTTCATGCTTCCTATGTTCCATGTTCCAACTGTAATTTGGTCTTTGCAGCTTTGGATTTTCTTTTCCTGTATGGCAACATGAGCAAGTAGTAGATATCCCAATCTACTACTATTTAATCTAGCCATGTAACACCATTAGTACTCTGAAAGATCCTTAGCTCTTCTTCAGCAGCATGTTGAGTGCCATCTGACCTGAGGGGCCCATCATCCAGCACTATATTGTCAATAATTTTATATTTTCTGTCCATGCGGCTTTGTTAGTAAAAATATAAGACATATTACAGGTAGTCCTCAGGTTATGACCATTCATTCAGCAACTGTTCAAAGTTATGACGGTACTGAACAAGTGGTACTTACGACCAGTCCTTGAAGTTCTGGCCATTGCAGCACCCTTGCAGCCATGTGATTGCAATTTGGATGCTTGGCAATCAACACTCACTTACAATGGTTGCAGTGTCCTTCAGTCATGTGATCATCATTTGCTACCTTCCCTGCTGGCTTTCCACAAGCAAAATCAATGGGGAAGATGGTAGGGAAGATTGCAAGTCACTCCTGTAGCTTGCTCCCGCCACTTTTTCTCCCAAAGAGCCCCACTACAGAGTACAAGATCCCAGCAATCCCGTACTCCATAGCACACACCCACCCGCACTCTGTAGCATGCGCCCACCTACAGCACCCCCTCTGCCTGCCTGCACTCCCTAGCACTGGCCCGTGGTCCTTGCCGGGCTGTCCACAATTCTCGCCAACCTGCCCTCACTCCCTATTGCCCATGCAAGGCACCCGTGCCGCTCCCTGCTCCTTGCCTGGGATTCCTACCTCTTTCGCTTAATGACCCATGCAGCCCTGGGGTTATGACGGCAGCCAGGACTGCTGGGATTGCCATTGCTAAACAATGCAGTCACATGATGTTGCAGTTTACAACGACGTCACTTAGCAACAGAAATTCCAGTCCCAATTGCCATTGTAACCCGAGGACTACCTGTATTGCCTTCTCCTCTGCAGCATTAATTGATGCCTTTGCCATTGTCATTAAAGTGATCATCTGCCTCCAGCATCTTCCTAGTGCAAACCTACATAGCTTGTTAATATCATTGCTTATGCTCTTCCATAAGAACTTCTTCAGCATAAATTATCAGACAGCTGAAATCCTTGCTGCTGACCATATTATAAACTATCTTGTAGTACAGCGGCGTCTTTGAGATAAAGAAGTGCTGCTAATATTCAGTGATCAAATGTTGTATTTTGCAACTGTTTGTTTTACTCTCAGATTTTTGAAAGATGGAGGCTTTGTCGTGCCTGGAATATCTTCAGAAAAAGCTCTTGTGTTCTTAAACTTCATTAGATAGTCTAAGTATTTCCTAGATCAGTTATGGGATTTTTCATCCTGAAAGTACCACGCACTGTCTTGAAAGAAAAATAAGTTTTACCCCAAATATCTTGAATAGGGAGGATCACCTTACATTTCCCAAACAGAGGCAAACATTGAAAGCAAGGCAGTGAGTAGGAGATGAAGGCACCTGGCTGGACATAATGCAAGCTGATAACTGAAATGGAGACAAGAGGAGGGAAGAGCAGGAGAGAGGGAGATCTGGCACCACCCCTGCCTTGTTTAGAAGAAGAACTCTAGAAATAGATGGAGCATTCATGGGTGAAAAGCTTTCAGTAACCTGAGACTGCATTTTTTTTCATGTCTCCTATGTACCGTATGTGTACATTTGTCCTATATGTTTGTACAAGGTGGCTGCTCTTTATTTGTACAGTTTTATTTTGCCCCAGTCTATGACAGATATACACATTTTTGTCGATTTTTATCTGCGTCTCAACTCACTCTGCTCCTTTTCAGGGAAGGTGCAGTAGTAGATCAGTGAGGTTGAAGTAAAATAATGAAAAAGACAAAGAATGGGCCACATCCAGGAAGGTATCTTATGCCTCCTTGTGTCTGAAAATACAGTAAAGTTTGCAAGACTTTCTCTTAGTTTTGCCAGTTAACTTAAAAGTGATACTCACATCATACACATCTCAGTTTTTCAATTTCACTTCCTCCTCCACAATTGCAATCTCTGAATGTTACCCAAATACCTACTGTAATCCTATATGATTGCATGAAGTCACTTGTTGCATAAAAGTTATTATGTTTCCAGAACTGGAATTATTTGGCAGGGTGGCTGAAAACTGAGTGAGGGATTTGGGTACGTCATTGCATTCATCACAAGGTCAGACTGTCAGGAAATAACAGGATAGAAGAAGGAATTTTTGCAAGGCTCCTGCTCACTGCTTGATCACCCTACAGCTTTTGAGACTCCCCTGGATATACCCACATATTCTTCTGCTTTTTTTTTCTTTACAATGATGAAGGAAAAATATCTGGCTAAAACACTTACACACGTACTCAGAATATACAATTGCACTAAAATCTTAAGTTAAAGGAAAAGCAGGCTTGGCAGCTAATACCACTTAATATCTCTTCTCTGGTTTTGCAGGATGTTTCATCTCAGAGATGAGACAAGGCTGAATGTAGATACTACTCACTGAACTCCACATGCCTTCCCAGTAACAGGCTTTTTATCTCCCTCTGTTCGATCCTTTGGAAGCCAGACATGGTCCTTGCACTTCACAGATTGCCTCTGAGAATGTTTTTCTCAAGTCAGGGTTTGGAGATACATTACTGAAAAGATTACATAGGATGGTGAGCGTATGACAAACCTCTCTGGGGTTTTTTTCTTTTCCTGTCCTCTGCTTCTAGGCAATTTCATCAGATTTCTGGAAGGAGCTGTGCCTCTCCCTGCCACGGAAAGTATCATATCAAAGCCTCAGGGGAGATCCCCAAACCTATCTCCAGGAAGACAAGGATCCAATGCTGATTCTGCATAGCAACTATCCAGAATTCCAGGGGGATTCCCATCCTGAAGGAGACATTGGTAAAAACACTATTTACTATTAGCTTTGTCACTGTTTCTTAATGGAATGACTCTGAAGTAAGCCTTTCTGGGGCACAGTTCCCCAGCATGAATATCAGTAGAACATAACTGATGTTAACCATACTGATTCTGTTGGGGCCTTAATTTGCTTTTCTTTCTTTTTTAATTATCCCACAACTGGTGAAAAAGGTTGAGACTTGTAGCTAATGCTTGAAAGAAAAACATTAAAATTGCCAAAATACCAAAAGGCAATCATAAGCAGTAGCATGAGTGGGTCAAGACAGAAAGGTTTTCCCAGTGACCTAAATGAGTTCAGCAGTCTGGCTCAACCCATCATTTTGAGCAGATTTCCATATAAAAGACACCTTCTATGGAAAGGTCCTACTCCTCACCATGTTATCTCCTGAGTTCTGGGAGCAGACCTTCACTCAAACATGTCCCTAAAGATTTTAATGTCTAGATCAGTGTTTCTCAACCTTGGCGCACCTTTTTTACGTGTTGAATTATCAACCCCAAAATACAAAAAGAATAAAACAAACCACCCTTCGCCAAACGA